TTTTTTAAATAAGAACAGAAATGTCAGGACCAAAGGAGTAAATGAATGGATGATGCCACTGGCTATTCTAGACATAGGTGATGAGTTTGTGGTTCTACTGAGTTCTGTGGGGATGTTCCTGGGACTTTGGCCTTGGTCGGGAGCTCTTCCTTCTGGATTCCCTGGGTGGCCTTGCAGTCTCAGCGTTTGGGTCTTAAGACAGCAGAGTTTAATTTTCTGCGACTTCCTGTAAAAACAGTTTTGCCTCTTCAGGCTGCAGTTTCTCTGATTATCCTGTTACTGTGAGGCTGTCTTCATTTAACCCATCCCACAAGGACTTTAAATGAATGATAGAGTAGACAGTATATAAATTCATGAAGTAATCCATCTCCATTTTGTACAAGTTGCCTAACAATTAGAAAAGGTAGGAGCAAGAAGAAAGCCCCTGTGTTCTCCAATCCATTGATCTTTGTCCATACCATTTGACTTTATCGCTTTGATCTTAGTCTTTTCGCGTGACGACTCTTCCCTTTTCCTCCTACAGCGAGGCCTGGGAATAATTCAGGCATAGGAGAGACCTTTAAAGTAATGGAGCTGTGCAGCTGAGTAGACTAGTTACAGCCAACAGGCCTGACCTAGTCCAGTGGAGCTCCCGTGTCCCTGTAAAGAGCTGGTGACTTTGCTTCCCTGTGCCTTCAGCAGGGCCCAGGGGAGGCCTGTGTGCCTGGAAGTGTGTGCTTAGCTTACTGGCGAGGGGGGATGAAGCAGGCGCTGGCACGTCCTTGGTCTTCCTTTGCTTCTTGAATTTTCCACCGTCTTGCTATCACGGCCTTCCTCTAAGCTTGCAGGAGAACCCAATGTAGCTGAGCGATTGGGTCGTGGAAATCTGCTAAGGCAGTTTACATTGCAGAGGAGTAAAACGCCACTGGATTCTTTCCTTCGTGTTCATCAGTTATCTAACAGGAAGGAGACTTGGAAGATTTAGCAAAGAATGACTACTTGTGGTCATATTGGGTCTGTAAAAATGCGTTTGGTAAACATCAAAGCAAAAGCAGCTTCTCGGTTTGGTCCACCTTGCCTTATTTCTGTTACGCTGGTTGTTGCTAGTCAGTGAAAAATGCTCCTGCTTTATTGGCGCAGAGCTTTTGGGCAGATTTGATTTATTATTTGACGTATTTAGAGTCATAGAATTTTAAGACTGGAAAGAACTTGCATTGTATTTCCCCAAATAATAGATGGGAAGAAAATATAAAAATAAAAAGTATTGCAATGGTTTCTGCCATCTGAGTACATATGTTCTCACTGAAGCGTATTTTTGTTACTGTATAAATGATGTCACCTGATCATTTCACCGTGGAGGATTTTGACTTCAAAAGCTGGGACCAGAGATCTTGGCTGTTCATCTCTCTGTACCTCTGTCCCCTATGTTCAGATTGGAGACTTTTCAAAGGCTCAGGGAGAACAATGGGGCAGTAATTGCTGAATCAATGTCTGAAGCGCAGGGAGAGGGACCCCCATCCTGGCTTCCGTGGCGTGGCCCCAATTCTCAGGGAGCTCAGCTTCAGAGAAGAGGTTTAATTATTGAATACAGGAAGGCGTAGTGGGATCAAACTGTGTCTCTGCAGGAGGAGGGGCAGCGGCAGCCAGCGCGTCACTTCCAATTGTGTTTCAGAATGACACGCAGGTGTGGACAGGCAGCCCAGGGACACGTTCTGGGAGGAGAAGGATTCAATGCGCAGTGCCCACGTCGGGCGTCCATGGAGAGGACCTGAGGGCGGAGCTGCCCAGCCCGGCCTGGGGACTGGCCGTGGCGGCCTTCCCCTGCCGTTGTGTGCGTCGTGTGCTTTGGGAGAATGCAGATCACAGTCCCATGCAGTGCGGGTGGGGACAGCGAAGGCATCCCACAGGAAGTTGAGTGTGAGCCGGAGTCTGCTAGAGTGTGTGTGTGCGCGTGTGTGTTTGTGAGAGCAGAGCCAGGCGGTGTGTGTCTGGCAGAGAAGGGGCATCACAGGCAGGGCTTTGGCGGCTGGGAGAGGCTGGGCTGGGGTGGGAAGTACATACACACCGGCCCGAGGCCACGGCCTAGACTCCACTCACAGGGAGGCCGAGGGTCCCCGGGCCTCGGGCTGGGCCCGGGCCTGAAAGCCACTTTGGGATTTGGGAGGGGGAGTCACATGATCAGAGTGTCCTTTAGAAGGTCACTGTCAGCGCCTGCGGAGAGGAAGCTGGGGGGACCATGGGAGCCGTGGAGGGTGGAGGTCGGGAGGGTGGATGGCCCTGAGGCCGGAGAGCTGGGCTGGGTAGGAGTGGAGTGTGTAGCTAGCGCCGAGCTCGGAGGAGGGCTGAAGGAGGGGTGGAAGAAGGAAGGGAGACAGAAGAGTCCAGCTTGCAGCCCGGGACCTTGCCGGGCAGCTGGGCCAACAGAGGCCCGGGCTACCAAGGTGGGAATCTCAATGGCCAGACGCTTAAGTGTGGAAGGTACAGGAGATTCTAGAAAGGTCCAGAAACCAGGAGTTGTGTCCCTGGGGGTGGGCGATCCACGGCGGGCCTGACTTTCCCTTGGTTCCCTCAGTCCCTGTGACAAGGGCTGAGTGTTTACAATCACTTGGAAGGCCCGACAGTCAATCCAAGATGGAGTCCACAGTCCAGGCCTGCTTGTCATCACCTCCCAAGTGGGGCTGGGCCCAAGTGGGGCTGGGCCTCCGAGATGGGAAACCCACCTCTGCCGCCCACTACCTGCCTCAGAGGCCAGCCAGGGGGAGGGGGAGGGGCTGGGTGCTTGCTGGTTCATTCTCTGAAAGGTAGCATCTGCATATGCGTGGATGCCTGCCGTGTGGGAAGGGGCATGCTTCGACGGGGGGTGGGACCTAATTAATTTGGAACTCATAATGGTCAGACAAGGCTGGGCCTCAGGCCAGTGTAATTTGTACTTTGTGGGACATAAAGATTTCCATGTGAAAAGGTGGCAAGGGCCTGGTTTGGTGTGCCAATGGGCCAGACACTTGCAGGGCTCCTCCATCTGCTGTGTTCAGAGAAGTCGATGATTACACAGAAATTTTGTCAGGTGCTGGTGGCTCACGCCTGTGATCCCAGCGACTCAGGAGGCTGAGGTCTGAGGAACTTTTTGGTCAGCCTGGGCAGAAAAGTCTGTGATTCTCTTATCTCCATTTAACCAGCAAAAAGCCAGAAGTAGAGATGCGGCGCAAATAGTAGAGCTCCAGCCTTTAGTGGAAAAGACAAGAGTGTGCGACCTTGAATTCAAGCTCCAGTATTGATGGGTGTGTGTGTGTGTGGGTGTGTGCACACGCATGTGCACTCACCCACCCACACCCACACAATGCCAGTTTGGGCTCATTTCCCTTAGGAGGATCTAGTTCATCGTAATTGGAATATTAATTCATTTACCTTTATCTGGTGAGTAAATCTTTGCCTTACTTCAAGGCACAAAACTGTTAAATGGCACAGGTGTTGTGTTATCTTTTTGTGCCAGGTGGGTTGTATTTATTAGATGAGTATGGTCAGACCTTTGACAGAGAGAGTCAGACTTGAAATACCAATATGCTTGTAACTTAGGTTTTCAAATTTTATTGAGTTTTTTCCCCTAAGGGACTCTTCATTCATGAGACTAATAAAATTACATGCACGTAAAGTATTTAATAAGTATCATGCACTGGTGGCTCATGCCTGTCATCGTAGCTACTCAGGAGGCTGAGATCTGAGGATCAGGGTTTGAAGCCAGTCCGGGCAGGAAAATCTGTGACACTCTTATCTCCAACTAACCACCAGAAATCCGGAAGTGGGTCTGTGGCTCAAGTGGTAAAGCGCTAGCCTTGGGCACAAAGAGGTTCAGGGACAGGGCCCAGGCCTAGAGTTCAAGCCCCAGTATTTCTCTCAGTTGCAATTGGTCTTCTCTTACTTGGGCTTCATTGGTAAACTTCAAATGAAGAAGTCACATTATCGAACTTTTATTTAGCATTATTTCTGCAGAGCCTGACGTTTACCTCTGTTTCGGGTATATCTCACAGCCACAGAGCTCTGGACATGCAAGCTCTGTGGCTCTGTTATTTATTCTGTGCTGGGTAATGAGCCAGGCCCTCTGCATCACTGTCAGGAATCTGAGATCATGCTCCGAGCGAGGTAGGTGCATGTGGTCTTAGGATCAGAAGCTTTGTCCTACAAGGCCTCAGAGCCAGGGGGTAGAGCAGGAACAAGAGCCACTTCTGTGTCCAAGCCCGCCCTGCCCGTAGCAGCCTCCCTTCCTTCCACGCATTGTCTTTCCGCGAGATGAAGCAGGTCTCAACAATTTGAGGAATGGGTGAATCTGACCCGGGACAGCGCTCCTAACTTGGTAAGGGATAATGGAGAGCCGCCTCTTACAGTTGCTGTCTCTGGAGGTGAAACCCAGACGCACAGCAGCATTGCCGGAAGGAACCTCAGACAGACTTGTTCAGCGTGGGGAAAGACCAAGTTCATGATTGCTTCCTTTCCACTGCGGTGGGGGTGGACTGACACAGGACAGTGCTTTCAGCATGAAGGGGCCCTGCTCAGCCTGCCGCCATTACCTGGTTCTAAGAAAAACACAAATCCGTGCCCCTGGGGTGGGAGCCCTACTGAGTACTTTGGAGCTGCGAGGCAACATAATCTTTTCTTTTTCAGAAGGCGGAAGGTCTGCCACGCCTTGGTCTTTGTGGACCTCTGGGGGTCCTTACTGATTATCGCCCCTATACGGAAGGTCTCGGGCAATAACCCACTTGAGATGCTCCCGGAGAGCCACGGGGTTGAGAGTGTGATCCCCGTGGGACTGTGCCCCCGTCCCTCCGTAGGGGACGTGTCCCTGTAACCACACCTTCCTGCCTGAGAGATGGGCGTTTTCCTGGTGGGTGACTCATGAGAAGGTGGCGGTCTAGCTAATGAGAGAACTTGCCGTTGTGTGTGATTGTCAAAACGTACACAGTCCAGCCTGCTGTCTGATGTGACTCTTTCTTTCTTTTTTTTCCCATTTATAATGCTTGCGTACTCAGGAGGTTGAGGTAGGTTTTTGACTTTTCCACTCCATGTAGACATAGTATCAAAGTAGTTACCACATAAAATGTAAATGGTACCCTACGTCTCAAATCTCAGCGATAAATATTTGTTTTCCTTCGGTGAACCAGTACCTCATACATTTGTTTTTCATTGGTGTATCCAGGGGATACAATTTATCAAGTGTATATCAACAGTCCATTTACCGCTTTATCTTTTCTCATTAGTTACAGTACAAGTATGATTGTCAGTTATTATCTCTGCTTTACTGGTGGGTTATTTATTGAAAGAGCAGAGCAACTGACATTGTTATTTTCTAAATCACTTTGTCTAAGGCCTGCAGGACTTTCCACTAAATGTCAGACCAATTTATCAAAGAATCGTTCTCCTCTGCATGAAAGTGATTTCCAGCGTGTATACAAACACACGCCCACCTGTACTTAATGCACACCAGTGGCGGGTGGTTAGGGGAATTTCACAGGGATGCTCATAAAACTCGGAAGCAGCTTCCTTGGATTTGAAGCGATACAGAGAGGCTTGCTCACACCTTAGAGAATACACCGGTGAGCGTGGCTTCTCCCTGCTCTGCAGTAGCCGTGGCTCACACTCACGTACGGGTAGTGACATGCACATCGTGGAGTGTTTCTACACACAGTGCCCCCTCCCTGGTGGACAGGGCTCTGCTGAGTGGGGCCTGGGAGGCCCCATCTCTGCCCACGCGGGGCCAGGCGGTTAGGTCATTCCTTTCAGAATGATTCTCCACCGGAACTCTTCCAGGGATGGACACAGACAGCCCTTCCCCTGGCCAAGAGGTGAGTGGACACAGGTCAGAGCCGAGGGGCTGTGTGGGAAGCTAGCCCCCTCCACCCTAAAGGAAGGGCTCTGTACCTTGTAAGTAACCCGATGAGCAGGCAAGTCCATTTTTCCTAAGTTCAAATGACCAGAAAAAATGGCACATTAGATGGCAGATGCTCTTATATGTAGCCTTGTCTGGAGCGCTCACGGTTCTAGGGGTTCAGTTACGATTCTGGGGAGCCTCCTCTTACCCAGTCACCAAACAGCCCTTCCCTCTGACCTCCACAGTCTCGTAGCAGGAAAAAGAAATGGAGTGGCTTCTACAGAATCCCCCGGAAAGCAGTTTGGTTTTGAGGGTGTCTCCGCTGGGGTCTGTCACCCGGCAGGGGCAGGCTTCCCCGGTGGCACTGAGTGGCCGCGGGCCCACGCGAGTCCCCGCAGTGACCGCCCGGCCTGGCCCCGGCCACCCTTGGCCTCCTCTCAGACGTGGCTCTCTTACACATCCCCGGTCAGGGGAACGAGGCTCCTCCTCCCCCACCGTTTCTTTTTTTTTTCTCAGGCTGGTCATTTGTATTATCTCAGGTGATCCTCACCTGGCAGGGTTCAGACAGTTGAGCTAAAATATGTATGAAGGAGAAACGATCTGTTTCGTGTGAGCTAAGTGCCTTTCAGCTGTGGCCTCCTAGGCTGTGGGGAGTGATCAGTCACCCCAGCCTCCCCCCGCTGCTTGGCTTAACATTCTTTGGAGCTTAACTAGGAATCTCCTAAAAGGCAGATCCTTGGAAGAGAAAGAATAGAACCGGGCACCAGTGGCTCCTGCTGGTAATCTTAGCTCCTCAAGAGGCCGAGATCTGCCGGGCGCCGATGGCTCTCGCCTGTCATCCAAGCTACTCAGGAGACTGAGATCTGAGGATCTCAGTTCAAAGCCAGCCTGGTCAGGAAAGTCTGTGAGACTCTGATCTCCAATAAACCACTAGAAAACCGGAAGTGGCTCTGTGGCTCAAGTGGTAGAGCTCTCCCCTTGAGCTGAAGAGCTGAGGGACGGCGCCCAGGCCCAGAGTTCAAGCCCCACGACTGACCCAAAAAAACAAACAGAAAAAAGAGGCTGAGATCTGAGGATCACAGCTGGAAGCCACTCCTGGAGAGGAAAGTTTATGGGACTCTTATCTGCAATTAACTAGCAAAGAGCCTGAAGTAGAGGTATGGCTCAAGTGGTAGAGCACCAGCTTTGATGGAGAAAGCCAAGTGAAAATAGGAGGCCTCTAAGTTCAAGTTCCAGCACTGGCACCAAAAAAAAAAAAAAAGAAGAAGGAGAAGGAGGAAGAGGAGGGGGAGGAGGAAGATGAGGAGGAAGAGGAGGAGGAGGAAGGGTAATAGGTTGAAGATGATTAAAGTATTTTATATAAGTTTGTGGGAATACCATGATGAAACCCCTTTGATACATGCTAGCAAATGAAAATAAATAACACGAAAGGCGAAGCCCTGGGCAGTGTGTAAGCTGAAGCCATGTTGAGGCTGTGGCACAGGAAAAAGAAGACTCTCTTTCAAGATGGGCGGGGACCCTAGATTGGTCTGTTGATCAGGTCCACCCACTCACAGTGAGGCAGGGATGCTTTGCCCTCATTCCGTGTTAGGAACACTCATGGCGGTGGAAGGCCCTGGACATATCCAGGCATCCCTTCACATCGGTGGACCCCCAGACCCCTTCCACAAGATGGCATAGTACTTACATGCTCCCACACACTCTGAACCACCCGTCCATTACACACAGTGCCCCCGACAGTGCAAGTGCTGGGTAGATAATTACTGTGTTGTGTTGGGAATCACTGCAAGATAAAGAAGCTGCCATGTTCAGTACAGAGATAATTTATTTGAGTGTTTCTGATGTTTAGTTTGATCTTTGGTGAAAATAGTACCCGTGAGAGAGAGTTGACCATGGGTATATATGTGTGTGTGTATATATGTATATATATCATATATGTTAGTAATATGTACAATGATATATATATATATATATATGTATCTGTATCTGTATACATATATACGGTAGGCACATCTTTCCCATAAACACTCATAGGGACAAAATTCTTTTCATGTTACAGAAAACCTAGAACTGATATCTTTGTACCAGCTATTGGGAGACAATAATTTTATGCCATCTAGTACTTTGTTACTAGGATATTTTAATGAGTGAGGTAAATGGAAAAAGATAATTTTGTTTATGTTGATCAGTCATGGAATTTATTTATTTCATTGTGGGGCTTGAACTCAGGGCCCAGGTATATCTTTGAGCTCTTTTACTCAAGGCTAGAGCTCTACCACTTTGAGCCACAGAGCCACTTCCTGTTTTCTGGTGGCTAATTGGAGTTAAGAGTCTCATAAGACTTTCCTGTCCAAGCTGGATTTGAACCACAGTCTTCAGATTTCAGTATCCTGAGTAGCTAGGATTGTAGGCGTGAGCCAGAGTTTCTATTTATTTTAATGTATTCATGTTCCTACCAGTCTCTAGTCTTTTTAAAACTAAAAACTTAAAAAATAACTTTAAAAACTTAAAAAATAAGTTTCTTTTATTGTGAAAATACTGTACAGAAGGGTTACAGTTATATGAGCAAGGTAATGAGTGCATTTCTTAGCATTTTTTTTTGTTTTTTGTTTTTTTTTTTTTGCCAGTCCTGGCTCTTGAATTCAGGGCCTGGGCACTGTTTCTAAGCTTCTTTCCTTTTTTTTTTTTTTTTTTTTTGGGTCCGGTCGTGGGGCCTGAACTCTGGGCCTAGGCACTGTTCCTCAGCTCTTCAGCTCAAGGCGAGCGCTCTACCACTTGAGCCACAGCGCCACTTCCGGCTTTTTTCTTTTTGCTTATGTGGTGCTGAGGAATCGAGCCCAGGGCCTCATGCATGCAAGGCAAGCGCTCTACCACTGAGCCACCTTCCCAGCCCCCCCCACCTTTTTTTTTTTTTTTAATTTGATGTCTACTTTTTTTCCAAGGCAGAGTAAAAGTCCTCAGAAACGAAGAATTTTCTTTCTCTGCTTGGTCTTGTAGGGCAAGGGGCTGTTTAAAGCCTTATTTTGCATAATGAGTTTCCCTTTCAAGATGTACTTTTACATTTTGTAGTAATTAGGCAGCATTATTCTACTTGCTGGGAGTTTCAACTATTCTAATGCAGATATCTGCATTTAGAGGTTTCCTGTTTAAAATGGTAATCTCCTCCCCACACTTGAGGTGACTGTGGAGTTGGTGGTGAACCAGTGGAAGTTGGGAGGCCCAGAAGAAGGCTTTGCCTTCCATCCGGCTGTGGGTTGAAGTCTTTAGGGAATATGCCATTCTCCAGACTTGCTCCAGCCTTTCCTTGACTTCAAAGAGAATGTGACGCGGGGAATTAAAGAGACTGGTCTTTGGCTCCAGCCTTTCCCGGTCAGACGCACCGCTGGAGCTCCCAAAGACTTCCATGTTTCAGAACAGCACACTCAAGTAGAAAACAGCCCCCAGGGTTTTCCCCCTGACCCTGGTGCCATGCTCTGCAGGAGAGAGCACCGGAGAACACAGTGGGAAGCGTGTGCTTGCTCTTAACCTTTGTGAAAAGAGCAGAATCTGCGGATACTCCAGTAGTCTAAGGTAGCCGTAACACTGGGAAATCTGGTGCTAAATTTCCTCCCTTCCACCCAGTGCTTAGGTTACAATGCGTATTTTTAAAACAAGTGTTAACTTACCTTTCAGTGTTTTAAAATGATCTTTAAGTAGTTGTACCAAGGGGCTTCATTCAACAGGCCGGTTGATGAGAGCAGTGGGCCTTGATCAGTATCACCACTTCCCTCCTCCCAACCCCGCCACCCAGGCCCTCAGTTACTTGGTTCCCTTTCCACAGGTGCAGCCTGACTTTTATGGCGGTGTTCTCTCTCCATTCATATTTCCCCTCTCCCCTTGACCCCCCTCCTGGCCGCCGGTGCTCCGGCTCCCTGGAATTCACTTTGCTTAGCTCTAGGTCAGTTGTTCAAAGGAGTCATATGGTCGCAGCCCCGCCCTGCGAATACCACGCTGTAGACCATATGTTTATGCATCTACGCAGACGACCCCGTGTGGGTTTTCACATATGCTCGTGATTTAGATCTAACTTCCACATTCTGACAAGTTTCAGACAGCACACTTTTGAAAGATTCAGCTTGCATTCAAGTAAAAAAATGGAGGATTTTTTTTTTTTTTTGGTGGTTGTTTGGATTTGGACTCAGTACCTTGTGCTCTTGCTTGGCTTTCTTGCTCCTAGCTGGTGCTTTACCACTTGAGCCATGCCCACAGCCCTGTCTTTTGCAGGTCTAGAGATAAGAATCTCACAAGCTTTTCCATAGACTGGCTTTGAGTTGTGATCCTCTGATTCTCACCCTCAAGAGTAGCTAGGATTATAGGTTCGAGCCTTCAGCACCCAGCTGGGAGAGTGATTTCCATGGTGTCGATCTCCAGGCTAAGTGGGCTAGGAAGACGACCAGTTGGACCATACAATTGAAGCCAGGGAAAAGTGGGCCAATTCCTAAGAGTTAAAAATAGTTTAATGCAGAATCTCCAGGATCCAGAGAAACCTGTTCATGTTTATTCATGCTCTGGAAAACGGCATCACTGGCCAAGAAGCAATATGTTCTGATTTTCCTCTAAACCCAGTTTCCTCAAATCTATTTAAGGGCTTAGGTGAACTCAACAAGGATCTAATAAAGCCAGGTAATTGAAGGACGTGGAGCCAATAGGATTCACGGGAGATGGTGTGGGAGATAAACTGCAGCAGGCGACGGCATGGACAATATTTTAAACTAATTGTGTACTTTGATGTAAATTAACTTTGCCGGAAGAGAAATGGACAGCTTTTTTGAGAGTGTGATAAGCATGCCGAGTGCCCCCAGCAAAGAAACCAGATAATAATTGAGAGGCGGGAAACGCCAGCCGACGGCGTGGGTTGCGTGCGGGGCTGGCAGCCGTCCAGTGGTACAGACAGCGGCCGTCTGGGCAGTGGTGGGGGCTGGGGGAGGGCAGGGGGGGCAGGCAGCTCAGCGCACAGCGGCTGTTTGCAGCGAAATGGAAGTGGAGGAAGCCGGGTACCTGCGGCCTAGGCCTGTCATCCCAGCTACTCAGGAGACCGAGATCTCAGGGTCATGGTTCAAAGCCAGCCTGGGCAGGAAAGGCTGTGAGACTCTTATCAACAATTACCCATCGAAATGCCAGAGGTAGAGTTGGGGCTCAAAGAGAATGCGGTCTTGAGTTCAAACCCCAGTACCAATACACACACACACACACACACATACATACACCCAAAGAGGGAGGAGATTAGAACTATGAAGTGAGTGGCTTAGACTCTTGCCATTTCAAAGCCACGGAAGACTTCCCTCACGGAAGCAAAAGTTGCTGCCAGCTGCATGCAAGAGAGACACGGTTACACATGGCCCAAGTTGGCCAGCGTTTGCTTTTCCATCCTTCCACGACTGGAAGACATGGCGTTCAGCTCCATATGCATCTACGGATGATTCCAACATTTGAATGGTCCTCCGTGTTCAGGTTTTGTGTGAGCGCCGGAAAACTGAAGCTGTGCCTGGGGAGATATGAGAAAGGTTGACAGCTGGATTATCAGTGTTACAGACACAAAGGCTTCATCTTAAGCGAGAGTGGCCTGGTACCACTCTCTACACAGGTCTAATTGATAGCAATTCCACTTGCACTGTAGAAAGTGTCTGGGCATCTATGTCAAACCGTGATGAGCAATGCTGCTTCCGTGTTGAGGTGAAATGGTTACTCTCCTCGGTGTTTAATCCATACAGCTTGAAAGAGAGGAATGTGACAAATACATCCATCTTTTGGATTGCATGCTTATGCCTGCTTGGGGAAAGAATTCTAAGCCGTGTTTGCCTGTGTCTTTGGGGCGTGGCGGGAAAGGCAAGCGTGTGGGCAGTTCTCTGAGAAGCCTTCTGAAACCTGACTTGTGTTTTCTATTTTTGCTTTCGTAGGATGATTATTTCAGGAACTGGAATCCCAACAAGCCCTTTGACCAAGGTAACGGATGCCACCTTTCTTGCTGTCTGGTCTGTGGGAAATGCGGTCTTGCTTTTCTTTCCTGACATGTTGAGCGAAGGCCAGCTAGCTCTCTTATTTGCTTGACTGTGGGGACGCAATTGATTGGGATGGTAGAAATTATTTTCTCAAGTTGGTTTATTTGTCTAGGACAAATTGAAGCCGTTTTTCTTTAAAAATTGAATTGACTGATACAATTACTGATTGCCTTATTTTTTTTGGTTTTGATAGCGAAATGGTTATCAGACTTACCTAAAGAATCGTGGGCTGGATCCACTGCTTTTATTCCTGGAATCTACTGTGCCTAGAGTTACCATAAAAATGAAGCTTCCTTTGTTTTAAAAAAAAAAAAAAAAAGGCTAATCCTGGGAGATGTTTTTCAAGGTCACTGAGATTTCCTGTGCTAAATGACTTATTCATGGTTTCTGAAGCTTGCTTGCAGGTTGGCTTGCGGGTGGTGTGGGTCTCAGTCTGGTCCTGGGAGGGCTCTGTCCATCCACATCAGCATGCAGAGGACCAGATTCATGAGACAAGTCACTCATCGTGGCCTTATGTGTGTGTGAGATTTAAGACTCAGGGAGAACCACAGTGAACCAAGCTCTCGTCTCATTGTTCCCTGTGGAGCCATCTTAGCCCGGCCCCATGTATACCTGGGACCCCAGTATGTACCAAAGCTCCTTCTTAAAACCCAGAGGAAGACTATTACACAGCATGTCTAGGAGGGTTTGCGCTTCTGGGAATGCGTGCAGCTTGTGGCTATGGTGATCGGCTTGAAAGGAGGCACTGGAAATGGGGGAAGACGCCCTTTCTAGGTGCCCCTTCTTTTGCCAGCTGTCCTTATCTTGAGGTTTGTCTCAGAGACCTGTGCCTGGATTCACAAACACTCTTTCTATCCACTATCTGTAACCCGCGTGGCCAGAGCGGGCCTTGCAAGCCACTTTGAACAGACCCACCTGCCAGGCTGATAGTGAAATTTTTACCTCCAAGCTTATCATTTGCCTGGAAGTTGTGTCATGCTTTACTTATTCATGCCTGCCTGCCTCCTCCTATCTGTTCATTCATGGATATTCATTGAGCTCTCACTGTTTGCTCAGCCCAAGCCAGCTAGCTACTGGAAGAGTGCAGAATTGTTGGCATGCCTGCCCTAGCGCAGGTCAGGGTGAGGAGCAGGAGCAGGGAGAGAAACTGGCTACAGGATAGGCTGATCAATCTGATGTAGAGCTGTGCAGAGAATTGTGACTGGATAGGTGGTGTGTGTGTGTGTGTGCGTGTGTGTGTGTGTGCACGTGTGTGTGTGCGTGTGTGTGTGCACGTGTGTGTGCGTGTGTGCGCGCGTGCGCGCGCGTGCGCGTGTGTGTGCACGCGCGCGTGTGTGCGCGCGCGTGTGCATGTGTGTGTGTGCGTGTGTGCGTGTGTGTGTGCGCGTGCGTGTGTGCACGTGTGTGTGCGTGTGTGTGCACGTGTGTGCGTGCGTGTGTGCGCGTGTGTGTGCGCGCGTGTGTGTGCGCGCGTGTGTGTGTGCGCGTGGGTGCGTGCGCGCGCGCGTGTGTGTGTGCGTGTGCGTGCGCGTGCGTGCGTGCGTGCGTGTGTGCGTGTGTGCGTGTGTGTGCGTGCGCGTGCGTGCGTGCGTGCGTGCGTGCGTGCGTGCGTGTGTGTGTGTGTGTGTGTGTGTGTGTACCAGAGAGAGACAGAAACAGAGATGTAGACAGAGACAGACAGAGAAAGGAGGAATATACAAGAGAGATTTCCTCTGTCTGGGCTGTAGATGTCTCAGTCCCTCAGGGTTTGACTCCTTTAAAACTCTGAAGCATTGTAGTAACTCAACACAAAACCAGAATTTAGGAGTTTTCCGTGAAACATGGCCAGTTTCTTCCTTCCTTTCCTTCCTTCCTTCCTTCCTTCCTTCCTTCCTTCCTTCCTTCCTTCCTTCCTTCCTTCTTTCTCTCTTTCTCTCTCTCTTTCTTTCTTTCTCTCTCAATCTCTTTCTTTCTCTCTCTCTTTCTTTCTTTCTCTCTCTCTCTTTCTTTCTTTCTTTCTTTCTTTCTTTCTTTCTTTCTTTCTTTCTTTCTTTCTTTCTCTCTCTCTCTCTCTCTCTCTCTCTCTCTCTCTCTCTCTCTCTCTTTCTTTCTTTCTTTCTTTCTTTCTTGCCAGTAGGACAATTTGAACTCCGAGTCGTATGCTTGCTAGGCACATGTCCTACCTCCCGAGCCACGCTCAGACCCCTTTCTGCTTCCTCTTCTCCACGCCCCAGTGGGGTCTGGCTTTTTGCCCAGGCCAGCCTGGGCTGGGACCTCCTATGAATACATTATGCGTAATAGCAGAGTTAACAGGCACGCGCTGTTGAGCCCAGCTTTTTGCTGCTTGAAAGGGGGGAGGGGGGGAAGGGGTGTCTCACAAACTTTTTACCCATGGTGTCCCAGAACCACGATCCTCCCAAACTGTCTATGCTGAGTAGGTAGAAATATGGCACAAGCTCCTGTACTTGGCTTAACCAAATGTTTTTGAGAGATAAACCTTCATTTATGAAGAGTACTCATCCATGCAGAACAGCAAATTCCCTGTCTAGACCTGCTGAATGAGCCCCTCTGCGCACCTCTCCCGAGCAGGCCCTTACTTGGGAAAGCAACTTGACTAAGAATTACCCAGAACTGATGAGTTTTGTTTTCTTAGGTAAGAGCCGGAAATGGGGTCAAGTCAGTAATGGGCTCACAGTTACTCTTTTTTAAGACTTTCAAACAAATACGAAAACTCTTCTTTACTTGTGCTACTAATGTACTTTGGAGATGACAGGCCCGGACTGGCTGTCCATTCCTGACTGGAGTGTAGCAGATTGCTCCCCTCGGTTTGGTTAGACAGAAACTGAGTGTTGAAAAGCACCTGTGATTTAATTCAGGTAGGGGTTTTCTCTCTGGAGAGTGGCAGCTGGCATACTGAGGAGACCTCGCCTTTGCAAAGCACATCGTAAGAAATGATGGGCGGGGCGCCAGGGGCTCATGCCTGTCATCCTGGCTACTCAGGAGGCTGAGATCTGAGGACCACGGTTCAGAGCCAGCCAGGGCAGGAAAGTCCATAAGAAACTTATCTCCAATAAACCACTAGAAAACTGGAAGTGGCGCTGTGGCTCAAGCAGTAGGGCGCTCGCCTTGAGCTGAAGAGCTGAGGGAGGGCGCCCAGGCCCAGAGTTCAAGCCCCGCGACCGACAAAAAACAAAAACAAAAGAAATGATAGGGTACAATTATCAGCACATTAAGAGTTTCAGTGAGGCATCTGGGCTCGTTTCAGGGTGTGGGGGCTTCCAGATGGCTGCGGGCTTGAGCAGCAGGGCAGAAGAGGGGAAGGAAGGCCCAGCCTGGGCACTCTGGCTTAGCGCTGTCACAGAGGCGATCTGGGGCGCATGGAGGGGTGTTCCACACCTGCTGCAGGCTTGCTCTTTGTGTTCTTGGCACTGGGGAGCCATGCGAGGTTTCTGAGCAGGCGAGTGACATGAAAATGGTGTTTACTTTTAGACGATCTGGTTGGGTAACTCAATAGGTGTGACCAGGGATGTCAGACACACTTCTGTAGGATGCTGGGGTCACTTCCGCATCCCATCATCCACCATGTTGGAGTCCAGGGCTGTGGCGGTAACGGGTGGCCAGGGGCGTGGCTCGAGCACTGATCAACCTAACTCTTCCCTGGAGCAGCCTCAGGCCCCGCGAACGCTTCTTCTCAAGGAGAGCTCTGGTCCTGCACACATTATGAGACACGGCAGGTCCTCCGGCCATCTGGAGACTCATAATGCTCATTAAAGCTCCGGGACACGCTTAACTGTGAAAGCACTTTCAACCTGTCCATTTCTAGCTTCACCTTTGAGCTCCTGTTGTTTCTGTTTCTGGTCGTGCTAGGGTTTGAACTCAGTGCTTCACACTTGCTAGGCAGGAGCTCGGTCCTTGACCCACATCTTGGCTTTTTGTTTTGAACTGTTCTTTTGAGAGAGGGTCTTGTTATTTTTTTCCCCTGGCCAGTCTCAACTGTAATCTTCCCTATGTTTCCCACCGTAGCTAGGGGGCAGACCTGTTACTACCATACCTGGTTTTCAGTGTTGAGATGAGGTCTCCTGAACTTTCCTCCCGGGGCTGGCCTGGAACCGTGATCCTCCTCCCTCTCCCAGATTCCCACATAGCTGGGATGGCAAGCATGAGCAACGGCGCTCAGCTGCTGAGTGAGATGGGACCTCCCACACGTTTCACCTGGGCTGGTTGTGAATAGTTATGCTCCCAGGCTCTGCCTCCTGAGAAGCTGGGACGATTAGCATGAGCCGCCGGTGCCTAGCTGGGACATGGGTGCTGATTTCGCACCTTAATCTGGGTACCGAGAAGAGGTAGTGTAGTACGTGACAGGTGTAGCCTTGGGCTCTGGAGTGTGATTCCCAGGCTTTAGAGCTTGATGATCAGTCACTGTGTGGCTTTGGACAGTCATCTCAACTTCTCTGATCTCAAGCCTTCCCATGGGGAAACTCAATGCTGATCGTACTTTGAACACAAAGCACTGAGGAGATGCAATGGATTCCTCCTCCTCAGGGCTGGTGGCACGCTCTCCGGGAGTGTTGGCTTGGCCAGTAGCCCATGTCTTCCATGCCTTCTCTGCCTCTCACTTTTAGCTGCCTCTCTCCCTGGCTTCCCTCCCTCCCCACTCAGGTGTTCTTTCCCCTCCTTTCCCATGTGCGGACCCCCCAGAGCTGAGGCACGCTCCCCTGGCAGTTCATGGGAAGGACTGCGTCCCAGGTCCCTTCGGCTAGAGCTGAAGAGGTCCAGGCTCTTAGTGCCTTCATTTATTCCTTCATTCCACGAGAAGCTCCAGGTGTGTGGTGTGGACAGTGGACCACACCGAGGAAAGCGCCTCGTGGCGTACCCCCATTGCTAGCACCTCCACTGGTCCCCCAGGTACGGCGTGGGGGGGCTGGGCGGGTGGGGTTGAGGAGGGAGCTGGGGCCTGGGCTGCCT